GCCAGTTCTATTTTTAGTCTCTCTCGACTTAGCAAAATAAGTGACTATGTAAGTTCCAAAGTTGGTTTAGAAATTTCTTTAGACTATTAATTGTCAACAACTAGAAATCACTGCATTAATTTACTATTTCTCATGATGTATACTATGGCACCAAGAGAAGGTAGAACTTATACCTTCTTTATAGATTAGGAAAGTGAAGCTTAGAGATGTTTAGCAATTTGCTCAAAGTTGTGCAAGTGCATAGATTGGAATCAAACCCAGGTCTCTCTGTTCCAAAACCCATGTTATCACTCTCACCAATAAGTAAATACAATATAATTACTACAATGAATTAAAACCCTGGCCCCCAAGTGAAATTAAGTTCCCCTGTTGTAGTCTCTCCTATCTCCTTTTTCTCGTAGCACTTACCATAATATATCATTTCATATTTATTTGGATGATAATTTGATTAATGCCTAACACTCCTATTCCTCACTACATGCACACTAAACTGAAAGAACCATGTCCACTACAGACAGGGACCATAGCTCAGCATAGTCAATCAACATAACACATTAAAGGAGACTATGGGTTCTAACAGCAGACAGAAACAGATGAGATCTTGGCTCTTAAATAAAGTATTTAATCTTTCTTAGTTTTAATATCCTTATCTGTAAAATATACATAATATTACCTAACTCACGGGGGGGGGGGTAGCTTGGGGAAGGTAAATGATTTAGTATAAATAAAATATGAAGCTTGATATCTTACAGTTAGCCAAAAGCAAGCATGATATGCACACAAAAATGCTAGTTCTTATTATTAGTTTCATAACTGTGGCATTTCATAAACATTTGTTGAATGAATGAATTTAAGTCCACTCAATCCAAAGTGGATGTTCTTAAACATTATACTTAAATAACGTTTATCTATTGACACCTGCAAAAAGAAGAGTAAGTTAAAAGTACTATATACACCTTCAAATTGCCAAAATGAATGCTTAAGACTCAATAAAAAATTACCTTGGCTTATCATCAACCCAATTTCTAAAATTTTTCTAATATTCCTGTTAAATTTCCCTGATCCATTTATTTTACTTCACAAAGTAATGGTTCTAAACCGTCACAGCTCCCAAGTTCCAACCCCCCATATGTTTGCTCACTGATACTTCAATTTCACCAAGTAAAAGAAGCAACTAAGAACTCCAGCATCCTGATTCCTCCCACAACCATACCTACAAATTAATCAGCAAACTATCCTATCTTATAGGAAAAGGCAACTTTCTTAGCTACAACTAAAATTGTGCTTGTTCTTCTGGAGCCCTTTCCCTCTCCTTTCAGCACTCCATCCTATCTCTCCATCTCTATACTGGTCTTTTCTCAGCTTACAATGAATCTGGTCCCTTAGGAACTACTGCCTTCTCTTCTGTCTCCCTTTACAAACAAACTTAGAGAAAATGTACATGCTTCATTCCTTCCCTACTTCCTTGGTTTGATTTCCTCTTGAACCCAGTGCAATCAGGCTAATGTTTCAATTGAAACGGTTTTAAGAGGGGCTGGGAACCTGCAGCCTTGGGGCCACATGTGGCCTTCCAGATCCCTGAGTGCAGCCTTTTGACTGAATCCAAATTTTAAGCTTTTATCTTAATTGGCCTCTCATACACATCTGACGCCACCAATGATTCCACTGTCTTTTGGTTCTGTTACTTCATTACTTCTTCTTAGTAACTGCAATGGATTGGATGTCTCCCCAGAATTCCTATGTTGAAACCCTAATGATGGTATCTGGAAATGGGGCTTTGGGGAGATAATTAAGTCATGAGGGTAGAGCCCTCATGAATGGCATTAGTGTCATTATAAGAGGCCAGAAAGCTAGCTCTCTTTCTACCATGAAAGGCTACAATAAGAAGTTGGCTGCCATAAACATTCAGGTGCAGATATCTTCATTATAGAATGTCTTTTGTTCCTTTGGGCAGATACCTAGTGGTGCTATTGCTGGATCAAATGTTATTTCTGAGCATTGTATGGGGGAAGGGCACACCTCTAATCCTGGCTTGGGTGAGGCAAAGTTATAACATGTAACCAAAATGTCTGTACCCCCATAATATCCTGAAATAAAAAGAAAAAAAAAGAAGTCAGCTGTCTGTAACCCAGAAGAGGGCCCTCATCAGAATGCAACCATGCTGGCATCCTTATCTCAGACTTTCAGTCTCCAGAACTGTGAGAAATAAATTTCTGTTGTTTATAACCCATCCAATCTATGGTAATTTGTTATAGCAGCAAATGACTAAGACACTAAGACAGTATCCTTCATTGATCTTCCTATATTTACCCTTAAAATCAGTGGTTCCCAAATTCAGTGGCATCAGAATTTCCTGGAGGTCCTGTCAAAACATAGATCGTTGGGCTCCAGCCCCAGAGTTTCTGAATGAGTAGGAGTACTTACATTTCTAATGAATTCCCAAGTAATGCTGAAGCTGCTGGTTAGAAAACTATTTTGAAGCCCTAAATTAACCCACTTTCCAGGTTTTTACTGGTTTTTACTCTGAGCTCTGTTGTCATCTTTTACTCTTGTTCTCTGAACAATCTCATCCACATTTTTGGCTTCAACTATCACATATCAGGTTGCTAGATTTAGCAAATAAAAATACAAAACGCTCAGTTAAATTTGAATTTTGGCTAAATCACAAATAAGTTTTAGAATAAATATATTCCAAGTATTACATGTAACATACTTATATAAAAATTATCATTATTTATGTGATAATCAAATTTAACCCAGCATCCTACATTTTTTCTGGGAGTTCTACACCTCCAGGTAGGGAATTTTCTAATCTCTAAATCCCAGATGCCTCCTAGTACAAATTACCACTTGAATGTCCCACAAGTCCCTTAAACACAACAGATCCCAAATTCCCCTTATTTTCCCCGAAAATCCTATTCTAGCCCCTCAGTAAACAGTATCACCAGAAACCTGTAAGTATTCCTGGACTCTTCTTTGTTCATCTAGCCTCATATGTAATCTCTAAATTTGATCAATCCTACCTAAACATTTAAAAATCTATTCTCTTGGCTGAGCACGGTGGCTCATACCTGTAATCCTAGCACTCTGGGAGGCCAAGATGGGAGGATTGCTTGAGCTCAGAAGTTCCGAGACCAGCCCTAAGCAAGAGCAAGACCTGTCTCTACTAAAAATAGAAACATTAGCCAGGCATCACGGTGGTGGGCACCTGTAGTCACAGCTACTCAGGAGGTGGAGGCAGGGGGATCACTTAAGCCCAGGAGTTTGAGGTTGTAGTAAGGTATGGTGACGCCACCGTACTCCAGGCAGGGCAACAAAGTGAGACTCTGACTCAAAAAAAACCTATTCCCTTCTCCCACTTTATTCTCTTGAAATACTCAACCGCTAAACACACCACATTCCCTTAGCCTTCCATGACTTGGCACAGGCTATTTTCTCGGTCTGAAACTTGTAATCATTTTTTGGAACTCAATTGCTACCTGCTCTGTAAATCCTTCCTTTCCTTCCCAGACAGATTTAGGGCTCCTTCCCCTACGCTCCCAATGTACCTTACATATTTTTTTTTTACCAGCAAAACATAATATTATGATTTTCTATCTGCACAGAGGTGGCAAAAAGCAACAAAAAGAATACAAATTTAAAGCCAGTTAAAACTAAGTTCCTATTCTAGCTCTGATGTTCCTCCAAGTTTGAATAAGTTACTTAACTTCTCCTTGCCTTAGTCTCCTCATTTGTAAAAAAAAGTAAGGATACTCCCCTCATATGGTTGTAGGGTTTAAATGAGAATGCTTAAGACAGGTTTAACGTAGCTTCTGGCAAGGCACAGTCTCTCAACAAATACTACCTCTCTCATTCTGGTAACTTTCCTTCATTACACTATCAATTGCCTTGAGAGCAGAGGCCCCATCTTTTCATCTTCGTAGCTATTCTGAAAGCAAAGTAACTAATACAGCTTACCATCCTGGTTAAGGGTTTGAGCTCTTGAACCAGACTACTGGGGTACAAATCCTGCCTCTATCATTTACTAGCTGTGTGGGCTTTAATAAGTTATTATTTATGTCTCTGCTTCTCATATGTAAGGTGGGGAGAGAAAGAGTACTTAGGGCTGTGAGCATCAAATGTAAACTGCTTAAACTTAAAACAGTGTCCAAGTGTTATGGATTATAGTAAACAGGAATAAAAACTCACTGAATGAATGAACAAGAGCTCAACTATAACTTTAATACCCACAGTAGACTCATATATCAGAAAATAGTAAACATTTTTGATTTCTTGCCTATTTGCCAATATTCAAATGAGATTCATCAATGCAAGATGGAAAATAGCACACACGATTTGTTCAGTTGGCCTTTCTATCATAGTCCATACCCTCAATCATGAAAAAATACAGCCTATTCATCTGAAAGCATTAATATAAACCAAAGAGAACTAAGGAGGTCCCTATCCACAGAAATGTACAATCTAAGCTGCTAGGGAGATTTTCAATATCACAATTTTTATATTCAGAAAGAACAATTAACAATATTAAGTTTATATATATTTCTGGCAAGGTATAATGGAAGAAATACTGGATCTGGAATAAAAACTGGTTTGTATCACAGTTTTACCATGGGACACTGGTAAAGTCACTTATTCCTTCAGGCTCAGTTTCCTTATCCGTGAAACAGAAGCTCCTTAATTCCAAGTACTGAACATGTACTTTGTGCCAGTCATTTCAGCAGGAATTGGTGATTCAAGTCAAATAAGACCAATAATCTCTGCCTTTAAAGAAACTGCAGTTTAGTGTATGAATGGTGGGGGGGAGTGAAATGCAGAATTAGTATGGTCAGTATGAAAACAAACTTCATTGACCTATAGATGCCTTAATAAGAGTGAAGACACTATATAATACGAAAAAAAAAAAAAGAATGCCTGATTCTACCTCTGAGTGACAATTAAACTATATCTTAAAAGAGAAGAAAATTTTTGCCAGCCTACTTAGTTTATTTCTTCTTCCACAGGCAGCAGAAATGGCATGTGCAAAGGCACGGAAATAAAACTGAACAGAAGATAACTTTGAGTAAACTGCAAATAGTTCTAGGAGCAGAGATTACAAAAGGCAGAAAGAATGAGTGATGACACTGAAGAGGGAAACAAAGGCCTAAACATGATAAATGGATGTCACACTAAAAAATGCATGCTTTATCAAACAAGAGGAGACAAGGTCTTTAAGAGGAGTAATATCATCAGATCTACAGAGTACCATGGCATCACTGCAGTGTTTTTTTTGTTTTTTTTTTTTTTTTTTTTTTTTTTTTTTGAGACAGAGTCTCGCTTTGTTGTCCAGGCTAGAGTGAGTGCCGTGGCGTCAGCCTAGCTCACAGCAACCTCAAACTCCTGGGCTTGAGTGATCCTTCTGCCTCAGCCTCCCGAGTAGCTGGGACTACAGGCATGCGCCACCATGCCCGGCTAATTTTATATATATATATCAGTTGGCCAATTAATTTCTTTCTATTTATAGTAGAGACGGGGTCTCGCTCTTGCTCAGGCTGGTTTTGAACTCCTGACCTTGAGCAATCCGCCCGCCTCGGCCTCCCAAGAGCTAGGATTACAGGCGTGAGCCACAGCGCCCGGCCAGAAAAACATGTTCTTGCCAAAAAAACTAGCTAGTCTCTCCACATTAATTTTTGTGCTTTCTAATCTGGGTCCCTAAGGGGTAGCCAGAATGATCTTTCCAAACACAAATTTGTTTCATCTTACTTTCCCACTTAACTAAACCCTACAACGGCTTCCCAGTGATTTTAGGATAAAGACAAAATTCATAACAAAGCCCACTACGTTTTGCAGGATCTGGCTTCAAACTACATACAGAGCCTTATCACAGAAGCAGGATAGCTCAGACTCTTAAGTCTGACCACCTAAATTTGAATCCAGTCTTTGTCATTTACTAACCATGATCTATGGTAAACTGACTTTTTTGTGCTTTGGTTTCCTTATCTATAAAATGGGGATAATAATATGGGGTTTTCCCATTGATTTTTTTCTATGCATATATTCATGGGGTACAAGTGTGATTTTGCTACACTGATATATGCATTGTAGTGAAGTCAGGGCCTTCAGTGCATACATAACTGAAAAAAATGCACATTGTACCCACCAAGCAACCTCCCATCATCCACCCCTCACCACCACTCTGAGTTTCCATTATCCATCATTCCACACTCTGTTTCCATGTGTACACATCATGTAGCTCCTACTTCTATGTGAGAGCATGCAGTTTCTGTCTTTCTGTGTCTGAGTTGTTTCACTTAAGATAATGGCCTCCAGGTTCCATCCATGTTGCTGCAAAAGACATTTCATTCTTTTTTGTGGCTGCATAGTATTCCATTGTGTATATATACCAGATTTTCTTTATCCAGTCCTGTGTTGATGAACACTTAGGCTGATTCCATATCTTTGCTATTGTGAATAATGCTGTGATACACATGAGTGCAGTTGTCTAATAATATGGTTTTGAGAATGATGCTTGACACACTCTTAAGCACACATAAGTATTAATAAATTAATATTAATGTCACATATCATTATGATATATACATGTTGACATATTAATACCATCTGTTATTATGGTTGTTGTTATGATCATTATCATCATTACACTTTTCATACCTTTTATGCTCCAGGCCCACTGGTCCTGCAATTCTTTAAAAGAACCATGCATCTTTCCAACCCAGGGCTTTCTTATTCTTGATTCCTTTTGTATAGAACATTCTCCTCCATGACCTCTGCCTAATCAATTCATTCTTCATAATTCGGCTTACAAATCTTTCCCTCAGAGAAGCCTTTCCTAGTCATTCACAACCCCCGGCCCCTAACCAAACCTAGGTCAGATTCCCCATTTTAGGCTTTTCTTCCAGAGCACTTGTCATAGTTTGTAATTATATATATTATTTGATCAATTACTTGCACAATCTCTCTGCTCTCTACTAACTGATCATCTCTATAAGGAAAGCGACTAAGCTGCCTTTGCTCACTCCTGGATCCCCAGAGCCTGGCATAGAGTTGACCATAATACTTAACTTAAAGGAAACTACTATCAGATAGAAGAGAATTTTTTTTAAAGTACCAAGTATGGAAAAATGATAACACACATTACTTTTGTTTTACAAAAAAGAAATATCACATAGTTACCAGGATCTTTCATTCAAACACCAAAAAACCTGATTTACCTGTTGAATGGGGAAATAAAGTCAGTTTGCGTTGTTTTAACTTATAAACCAGAAACTGCCTAACTAAAATTTTCAATTCACCAGACAGAAAAGGAATTAAAACACTTTTTTAGATCAAGTTGAATGCTTACTTGAGCATTGTCAGGTTCCTCTTTAATTTTGTCCAGAAGCCCCTGCTGTGGTGCCATTGCTTTGCCACATTCACCATCCAAAGGTTCCTTCATTCTAATTTTTTATCTCAAAGAGTTCCCCAGACTAAAACTAATAGATTTCTTCTGGGTAATGAGTCGCTGGACACCTAAAACACAACATAAAGGATTGGTATTCAGGTTTATTGTTTGTTCTTCTTCATTTTTGTCTGTATTAAAAGCTTTGTGTTGAGCAGAAGGCTTCAGGGCTGAGCATTTGAAAAACAACTCTTCTGGCTTTTTCTCTCTACCTGCATTCTGCTCCTTTAGTAGCCACCTTCACATAACAAAACAGTCTTCCAGCAATAGCTCCCACTTCTCTAATATCTTTAAAGACAAGCACTCTGGTCTTTTATATATGTTGAATGCAGTTGAGGGGAATGAGAATAGCTGTCCAAGACATGGGAGGAAGTTACCAAGCTCTGAAAAGAATGGACTCAAGAAACAGTTTCTTCAGATTCCTGCCAGCAGAAAAGAAAAAAATAAAGAAAGAAAAAAGAAACAGTTTCTGACTCCATCAGAATTAATATTTGGAGGCCCAAGTCAGCTATTATTTCTCAAAGTGGTACACAACCACCTCTCTGCCCTGCCCTTAACCTGTAATTCAGCCCTCACCGGAGACCCCCCAAAGGACCCAATTTCTTGGCCTAACGCTGGATAAGAAATCAAGATGCCATCCATCACAAGCGAACAATAGGTATGCCCTTTCTTAAAGTGGGTCACCTGCAACTTTCAGGGTCTCCGTGGGGTCAGGCCTCTCTGAGGCCGGCTTCACAATCGCCTTCCTGTAGACAAGAAACTCTATGGGCCACTCAGTAGATTCCCTTTCCCTAAAAGTAAACGTACTAATCAGAAGGGATTCAACTTGAAATTTAAAAACAAAAAAACAACAACAAAAACACCTCTCCAAAGTTGTCTTTAACCAAACAGTCAAGCCCGGCACGGAAATGGACAGCTGGTTTAAAAGCCAGTTCTGAAAAAAGATGAGAACTTTTTGACCACTTGCCACAGTCACAACAATCTATGGGCGCGCATCCTTCCTCTGAGTATTGCATGCGTTCCGAAATCCTCGTTCCCACCAAGAATTCCCACGCCCATCATTGAGGACGAACGAGGCAACGCAATCTCCGTGGGAGAGCACGGGACCCGCAAGTGCCTGTCACCGCGTCCCTGAGGCGAAAGCTGCAGCACAGCCCCACAGCCCGCCTGGCGCCGCCCCCGCCCGCGCCGCCTCGTCACGTGGCGCGGCCCCTGCCCCGCCCCGCCCGCCCCTCCAGTGCCACCGCAGCGCATCCACCTTCTGTCGCCTGCTTGCTCCCGGGAGATGCACCAGGCGGGGAACCGGGAATGGGACCCAAGCCCCCCGCGCCTGGACCCGGATTATTTCCTCTTACTGGAATTCTGCCTGATCCATCGCAACGCAACACCCCGCCAACTGCGCGTGCGCAGCCCTAGTCTCCGCCCATCTTTCCCGTCATGCCCCAGACACGAGCTGTGTGGCCCTTCCCAGCATTCCTCTTTCCTCAGTTATGGTTGACTTCTTAAAGAGACCCAGGCTCAGTTGTGAAAAGATGGAGGAAAGATGGGGTTTAGGGAAGAACATCAGGGACGTTGGAAGGCCCTTTAGGTATGCTGCATCATCCTTTAATGCCCATTTCCAGAAAGGTGGCCTGCTGAGGAACATGGTAATAAATAATATCTAATATTTATTAAGCCAAGTGCTTGCTAAATAGTTGACATGTATCATCCCACTTAATCCTCACCACAACCCTAAAAGGTATACATTTTTATCTTTGAGATATAAATGAAGAGATTAACTTGCCCAAAATCAAGACTTGGCTTTTTTTTATTAATTCAACATTGTTTCAGAGATACGTTAATGGTTTGTGTGGCCGTTTATTCATTTTTAACTGCTGTATAGTATTCCCTTGTGCAAATATGCTACAATATAATCATCTACTATTGGTGAACATTTGAGTTGTTTCCAATTTTTGGCTATTTGAGGTAATGCAGCTGTAGACATTCTTGTATTTTGTAGTATTAAAGGACAAACTTACAGCAAGTTTAGCTTTAAGATCTCAATTGGCTTTGTTTGTGATTCTAGACTCAAGCAACACTTCATTCCATAAGATATAAATAAGTATTCCAGTGAGCTGAGGAGAGGAAGTAAGTTTTATAGACAAGGAAGGGCTGAAGAAAACAGAAACAAGGAATACAAAACAGATTGGTCATCTCAAAGTTATTTTCCTTGTAAAGCAGGAACAGGGAAACAGAACAATAGAGAAATAACTGGTTGGTTAACATAGGTTACTTCATTTTACTTTTTTTAATAAGGATTAAAACAGGGAAATTTCATTATCATGCAGATTAAAACTGGCTTGTTTAGGAAATCAGGCTGTTATTATCTATCTCTCACTCTCTCTTTCCCCGTGGCCCCTCTGATTTCTAGGGAGTCAGATAACAACTTAGTTTCAGTTGTGTGACATGGGACCTCAGCATGAGTGACTCCATTCTGATTTTTAGTTTGGTCTATTGGGACCTAGCACAGGAGCTTAGTTCAAAACAACAGCCTCCTATAATTTTTATTTAACAGTGGCACATACGCACACATTTCTGTTGGGTCTATATCCAGCAGTGAATTAGTTTGTTATGTATATGTGAAATTTAGGTAGACAATGTCAAAGAATTTTAGAATGTAGCTGTTTTGGTTTACACTCCCCACCAGCCATGTATGACTATTTCAGTTGCCCAACATCCTTGCCAATAATTACTACCACATATCTTTTTAATTATAACCATTCTGGTGGGGGTATGGTGGTATCTCACTGTGGTATTAATTTGCATT